AACTTCCTGACAGTGAGAACAATTAACCAGTGGAACAACCTGCCTCCAGAAGCGGTGAATGCTCCAACACTGAAAGTTTTTAAGAAGAGACTGGACAGCCATTTGTCCGAAATGGTATAGGGTTTCCTGCCTGAGCAGGGGGTTGGACTAGATGACCTTCAAGGTCCCTTCCAACTTTACTATTATTATTATTATTATTTATAGTGGAGGTTGGTACAGTGTTGAAATACATTGAAGACCAGGCTACAAATCATCATGTGGAAAATCTGTGTGGTTGCTAAGAATTGACATTAACTTGATGGTACCTAATCAATTAAAACAAAAAAGGTAAACACTTGGTTATCCAGAAACATCTAGTCTTCTTTTACTCCTGATAGCTTCCATGATTCTGATAAGCAGAAAGCCAATAACTGAATGGGAGTTAGTAGGAAAATGGAAATACTTGGCTTTTGGATTCTTTTCCATCCCAGTAATAGTAGTAGTAGTAGTAGTAGTAGTAGTAGTAGTAGTAGTAGTAGTAGTAATTTAATAATAATAATAATAATAATAATAATAATAATAATAATAATAATAATAATAATAATAATAATAATAATAATAATAATAATAATAATAATAATAATAATAATAAAGTTGGAAGGGACCTTGGAGGTCATCTAGTCCAGTCCCCTGCTCAGGCAGGAACCCTATACCACTTCAGACAAATGGCTGTCCAATCTCTTCTTAAAGACTTCCAGTGTTGGAGCATTCACCGCTTCTGGAGGCAGGTTGTTCCACTGATTAATTGTTCTCACTGTCAGGAAATTTCTTCTTAGTTCTAGGTTGCTTCTCTCTTTGGTTGCTTCTACTTCATCTGCTATGATTGTCATTTAATATTAATCTGTTGCTTCTCCTGTAGAATATCCCAATGAGAGCGATCCTCCCAATTTGCTATCTTAAGTATATGTGGACCTGAGCACTATGATATGGAATGCAAATAACATCTCGAAATCTAGTTTTGAGTCAAATGGCCTAAACAGAGTTAATACATTGCTTGAGGCTTTATAGCAAAATCCTCTGTGCTCCCAGAATGATTCAATTACTTGAAATAATTTTCTTGACTGGAATCGTATATCAGATACAGTTAGTTTTCCAGTAATTACAGTTAAGTGTAACCCAGTCAGTTCTGTGTTGCTTGTGTGTTCTCCCTTCCCCATGACTCTTTTGTGATATTGCCAAGAATTGTCTAAGGCTGTTTGTTTGGGTTTTTTTCCCTACATGCAACTATGTCTGGACTCAAAGCTGGAAGGTTTTGCAGACATCATTTGTACTTCCCAGGACTTGGCTTAAACACAATCCTGAATTTAATAACCAGCTCCAGAACAGAAGCAGATACTCCATAAATCATTTTAATAGAGAATCAGAATATTATAACCATTTATTTTTAGCCTAACTTACTCATAGATGAGAAAATTTTGAATGTGTATGTATTATTATTGCATCTGTATATGAACACATGTAACTTGTCACCAATAAATTCATGTAATGTTGGTGACCAACATAAATGTGCACATTTTTCTATTTGTAGAAACATTCCTACGAACATTCTTTTGTGTCCACGAGGGATTAAAAGGGAGCAATTGCTGAAATGTACATCACAATATCATGATGCAAACCTTTTTTTTTTTTCATAATAACGTCAGATAAAAGTTCATCATGGATTAAGCTTGCATTGTCACAATGCATGTGTAGTCATTTCGACAAACTCTTGGCTTGCTTGCTTATTCTCTATGTACTTTAAATCTCCAGCCACATATGAATAGTTGTTCTGTGATTTATAGGGATTGTACTGGTTTGGGATTTTTGAAGACTTGATTTGTTTTTGTATAGAAGATTATGCATATTGGTTTGAATCCATATGTTCATATTATACTTAGTATGCATGCCTAATATTAACAAACCTAGATACAGTAATAACCATAAGAAGAGTGCACAACTTGAGCGAGTGGACTTACGTTACTGCTGAAATCTTTTGTGTGATGTTAACATTCCAGTAGAATCTAAAACAAACATGCATGATTTGAAAAATTATGGCATGTCAGTTACGATTTCATTTCACAAAGGACATAAGTCATAGCAGTGATTTGATGTCATGACACATGTATCTTAATTTTTCTCAGTGTTCCTCTGCAGACATTCATGCCTGAGTTTCTCCAAAATTTGCCATTTTTCATGTGACAGAAGTAAAAAATTAGGAAGAATGATTAATTTACTTTCACTATTAAATTAAATTTATTCCAGTCATCTCCACCTTTTTCTCTTGAACATGCTTAATTTTGTGACCAATGGCTCAGGCATACCTGTCAAAGTCCAAGTATACCTCAGTGTGAAGATACAGTGGAAAACATTGTTGAACTTGAAAAGCGTGCATAGGATTATATGGGTTATGGGCAATTTTTGGATGTAAAGAATAACAAATTAATTATGTTATAATAATAGCTAGTCACTTAATTTGCCAGTGAATATTTGTTTAAAAGAGAGCTGTGTTATGTGTTCTGGAAAAAAGGAAACAGTTTTAATTGATACACTCCTGAAACAAATTAAGAGGATAGGGAGCACTCTGCAAGATGGTTGTGGTACCATATCGAGGTAAACCAGGTAGAAGACCAAAATCTAAATATGATACAGGAGGTCTGTGCAGAACAATTAAGATTTGCTTCATCAAAGATATTTTTTACCACAGTGGCAAAGTAGTTTTCCTCACTGAAAAAAGTATAATACAATTTGCTCTGATGAAGCACTTAATGTTGTCCTGAAACTTCCTGAGTACTACTTCCAAAGTCAGGAGAAGATTCTGCACAGAAACCACACTTGGTTAGAAGCCTTCTCAGGTTTTGTGAAGAACACACTGGATAAAGTAGAGTGATATATCCTCTAGGATGGCTCACCAAAGCTTGGGCAAGCTGTATTGGAAGAAAAGAGTGCCATGTTCTCTGAAGCACTTGTCAAAAGTTTATTTGTCAAAGCATAGCTAATCAAAATAACATGGCCATTTTGTTTTCAAGGGAAGGGAGGTGACTTAATTGCTTCAAGAAACTGCTTCAATGAAGCAATTTGCTTGAATATTCAAAGAAGCAAAACATCTCTTTGAAAATATGCACTACTCTATGATGCAACATTTATTGTTATAGGGGAAACAAGAATGTACAGAGAGAGAGGGAACGAGAGGGAAAGGGGGGGAATACAAAGCATGCATTTATGCATGACTGTCCGTATCAATCATTGTATTGCCTGCATCTCCTACTTGGTGGGTTGCAAAAAACCACTTAGATAGCCTCTACATTACAGTCAAATTGTGCAAAACGCCATTCTTTGCATAGATTGGTAGTTTTTAGTATGGGCCAAATGTCCCTCCAGCATGTTATATTTTGAGAAGTCGCAGAAGTAAATGAAACTTAGAAGGGGATTATGAGCAAATAATAATAATGATGATGATTGAAAACCTCTGATATAGATGACAGAAAGTGTGGATGAGATAGGGCAGAGAGGATGAGTTGATACACAAATTGTCCCACTGTTGCAAAAAAGAGTCAACTTCTCTTTCAGGTTATATATATATATATATTTATTTTCACAATTAAAACATCTGTTTTCATTTACTGCAGTGATATGTTTTGTCTTTGCTGGTGGCTTGGATTGTTGGTGAAACTTATTATTACAAATGTCATCTTTCCTCACAACATTCTGAGATGGTTTCTAGTTTCTATTCCTTTGTCCAGTCTTGTTAACTTTTCCATTGTATAGCCAGGTTTGCCATGACAAGATTATTCTGTGCCTGTGCTGGTCATTTGATATCTGATTGCTTACCTTTGTTGTCTATAACTTAATTGTCTGCAAGTTAGTTGTCTACAAGCTTCTAGGAACCTGGTATTTGTTTTGCTGAGTCCTAATGTTCCAGATTGTTACTATCTCATATCTCCATCCTTGATCTTGTCTTCAGTTTGATATAAAACGTTTGCCTTCTTTTCATGCTTTTAGCTCTATATTGCTTCAAACTATTTCAGTCTTTTTACAGAGCTGTAAAATATCATTTTAGGCGGTCAAGTTCAACTCTTGAACCATTTCATGGACTAAGCTAGCCCCCCCGCAAGTTGTGTCTTTGTATGAGTTGCATTGTATGCAAAGATGGGTCACCATTCACAACCACTTTTCTCTTTGTGTTACAGAAAATGCCAGTGAGGAAAATTCCCTGCAAAGCCAATGCTCCCTCTGGATCTTTTTTTGCACGGGACAATACAGCAAATTTCCTATCCTGGTGCAGAGATGTGGGAGTGGATGATACTTGTCTCTTTGAATCTGAAGGCTTGGGTATGTATCACCCAGTAACATGAGGCACTTTTTAGCATATTGCACTGTATGCCACATGTGTTTTTAATGATTTTCCATGGGATTTAATCAGTCTATCGTGAGGTCACGTTCTGTTTCAAAAAATAATTATATCGAAGTGGCATGTCATTATTCCTCCTCCTTATTTTTTTACAGAATTCAATAATTTATAGTTTCTTTACTTTTGGAATAATGTGCATTATTTTTAAGTGCATAATAATAATTCAGAATTTCGAAGAAAATAAAGGCATTTCAAGAAACGGGTTAAAAAAAACTTGATTCAGCTCTGTTATATTTTAGACTGTAATCAGAATAAGTCTTCCACACCATTTTGATGCTTACAGCTTCACAACAGATATTTTTAATTTCTTGTTAAGTACACTTCCTGAATAGACCAGTATTCACTGCAACTGGCTACTTGGAGATTACAGAAAATTAAAATGTTGCTGTAACTTCTGTCGTTGTCCCTCAGATATTCTGGAGGATGGGAATTGGTGGCAAGGCATGATGGTATCTAGGAAAGGTGGGGCAGCTCTGAAAAGCTAAACGGGACAAGGCAGAAGTTCTTTCTCTCGGAAAACTTCATCTTGTAATTCTAAAGGAAACATGGTTTTCTCTGGAACAACAGCTAATCAACTGTGAATCAGCATTCAGAACTCAACCGTCCCATTTTGCTAAGACTTCTGCAAATCCTTAATGCTGAGGTGCAGCACTGATCTCACGTTGGTGCAGCTATTGAATGTGGAAGGATCTTTACTTAGATGTCAAGTTGATACTCATTCATTTGGGAGGTTAATACATCGATTACCTTGATTACATTGTATGATTGCTATGCAGGCCAGAAAAAATGAATGATGTAGTTGTTATATCACTTCAAAACATAGGAAATATGACAAGCCTGGCCATCATCACTTTCCTTCAAGCTTGCTGCCAGCTGCCATGGAAATGGGAGGGAGGGAACAATGGGCATTTGGGAGGGGAAGCAAGCAGGAGGTGGGATAGTGAAATGCTAGGAATGACTGGGGAGGATTGGACATGGAAGACAGAGAAGCCAAAGGCGGCTATCTCACATCTTCAAGGCCAACCGTCCTGGGAGTGGCATGTACAGAGGCACAGAGCACCTGGACCGGAGACGTTCCCAAAACATCTTACTGGACAATGATTGGACTCTGTCTGCCTGATTACTGAGGGGGTGGACTCTGAGATGATTTTCAGTTTGTAATTTTTGCGCACGCTCGCTTCAGACCTTGCCTGACTTTCACTGCATTCAGATATTTCCCAGTAAAAGCACCTTTTCTCTAAATCTATGGAGTCAGGGGTTTTCTTTCCGGGGAATTGATTGGGGGCAGTCCAGGCAAAATAATTGTATTACTGATTTTTTTTGCTAATTATTATTCTTTTTGTTGTTGTTGTTGTTGTTGTTCAGAAAGGGCAGTTTTCTCTTTATCTACCTGTTGTCTGCATAGGTTTTTTTATTATTTGGGGAAGCATTTAGACAAGCAACCACTTAAATATATTTAATAGTAGTAGAATTCTGGAGATCTGTATCATATTTTTCTCCTAAATGTTTTAGCCCCTAGATCATTTCTCAGTGAAAAATATTCAAGAAAGTGAGCAAAAATTCAGACTATACAATTCATTATGCTCAGGATTTTTCTATTATATCCTATTATTTTTTTCTAATCACTAATAACATTCTTTATCTACGGATCTATGTAGGTTTTTTTTGAATGGCACTTATTACTGAGTTTCAAAAGTCACTCATTTAGATCTTAATAACTAAAGCAGACCCACAGTTTGGTTTGGGCTTCAATTGTATGCTTATAACTTTGTAGTATGTGAGTATCAATATTCTAAGATTAAATCTATTCTCCCTGCTACTTCCAGCTTTTTTTCTGATTATTTGGCTTACTGGCCAAAAATGTTTTGTAAATCCTCAATAACATATATAAAATAATGGCAAATCAGAAAAAGATCTTAAACATAATAACTAATAATCATTTGCTTCCTCAAATGATTCTTTTTAAAGTATCTCTTAATAAATAAGAAAGGAAAGAATGGAGCATATGTAATTATTTAATTTTGATATCTTTATAATAATAATAAAAACAAATGTATACAATACCAAATTAAATATCAGGATCTTTCAGTTGGCAATTCCTTCTGCCAACTATATAAATTTTGATTTTTTTCATGTTTATATCATGAATGATCAAACATTAAGGACAAAGATGAAGTTAGCACCACTGGATAGTACTTGCCAGCATTGTTTTTCTTTTATAAGATTATATGGCAGCTGTAAAAAGTATTTCTGCAACTCTGAGAACATACTAAACTGCTTTAAAGAATTGCAGATAGTAGCTAACATCATGATTCCAGATACTTTGAAGTTCCTTTTTGCCTTCCAACCCACCTCATACCTGTAACTTAATTCTTGAATCATCTTAAGAAATTCACAGTTTTCATAGTTAATAGCTACCTGAAATATACTTCATGAAAGATTGATGCACATTGAATTGATTTTTTTTCAAGTGCAGCTTAGGTATGTTTGATTATGGAGGAAGGAGATGGAAATCAGACCTAATATACCAATACCATGTTGCTTTTCAAATGAAGTTACTATTAATCTACATGAAAATACAAAGCCAAAGTTGACTAATTTTGAAAAGTTAAGCAGTGTTGGACCTGGGTAGTTATTGAATAGCAGACCACAAGGCAATTCCAGGACTTTGTGTTAGTCTGGGAAAGTGATAAATCACATCTATGGTTTTGCTAAAAATATCTACATGGATTGTGCACAACATCCTCAGGGCTTGGAGAAATTTAATTTTTTTTAAGTCACTTTTTCAGCAAATGTAAAATTGGTTTGTTTATTTTTATACATAAATCTTTAAATCACTATATTAGTGTAGATGTTTGGCTCAAGTCATCTGTTCTTTGGTTAAAAAATAACATGTAAAAATCCAATTCTTTTACATACCCAGGAGATACAAATTAATTTTGCTTGTGTCCTTAAATTCATAATTAGAATTCAACTAAACGTGTGATTTTAAAAATGACATATAACTATTTTGAAAATAACAGGATGCAAGTACTCTTGTCTTACATTGATTTACCCCTAGCCATTTCATTCAAAGAAGAAGAGGAATCAAGTAATAATATCTTGTACCTTGTCTTGTATCAGATTTGTACCCCAAAGGCACTAGTTCAGGTGAAATCCTCATCTTTGAAGTATTTTGTTCTCCTTTTCATTCGTACAACAGATCTCTTTTGATACAAAATTTAGGACAACTTTTTTGCCTCAGGATTGCATTTCAATAGGAGATGAAGAGAACCAGTTGTTTGTTTGGAAATGAAATTCAGCTGTTGCGATAGAAGATGAGCCCATTGAATCAACTGGAATATTATCAAGAGGCTTCTGTTTTCCACAGCTCAAAAGGTTTTTGAATATGTGTAACTTATATCTGAGTTGCAAATGATCTGTTTGTCTTCTGTATTGAACTTCTTTTTCTTATATTTTTGTATGTGAGAATATTCTGTTCGCATTGTCTTCTTCGCTTTCTTCATTACTCTTGTTGATTACATAATATATATCTATCGATAGCTGTAGTTCTGTTAAATTGTTTTTAAACACACTGATATGTTAATAAAATAGCAAATTTAGCCCTATTGTTCCATAAGAAAAAACCCTGCGAACTGATAAAATGGTAATCTAGGTTTGTAAAAGTATAAGCCATCCTTCAAAACAGTTGTCTTGGATAGTTTAGAGCAGGGGTGTCAAACTGCCGGCTCATGGGCCGAATGCATCATAGCGAAACCGCGCCCACCCCATTGCCGGCAATGGCAAAAAAGTCACGATATGTCGCGATATGTCACATGACGTTGCGAGTTTGACACCCCTGATTTAGAGCATTGGAAATTATGTTAAGTTCTTATAAAGAGTTAAATCCAAAGTTATAAATAATAAAATCATCAATCTTTAGAATGAACCAAAGTATTACAAAGCCAGATACATTTTTGAGTTTCCCAGAAATCTTCATTAGCAAGATAAAGAATTCAACAAAGTTATTTTCACTAACTTGCATTTGAAGCTTCAAATACCTCTTCAGGTGATTGTTCATTTAGTTTTAATTGATAGTATCCACTTAATTTTAATTAAAAAAGAAAGAAAAAAACTGTAAGAAGAAGCTACTTGGATAACTTATCTTGTCTACTATCTTGTTTCCCATAGTAGTCAATTAGTTGCTTCTCCTGACCATTCTAAATACTAAATTATATTACTTTTGATTGCAAATAGTTGCCATGATTAGCAGCTATGTAACTAACATCAGATAATTCACTCTTTAAAATATCCAGAAGGTAAATCAACATGATTTTTGAAGTGTGTGTCCCACTCCTGTTACTGAAGATATTTTCTTAAAAGTAGTCTTAATTTCACTTCTTCTAATGATTGGCTTCCTACTCTACTGCAATCATCTAGAAGAGAGAGAGCTATGAAAAATTACAGAAATAAACAAATACATTTACCAGACCATGATAGTACTGTATAAACATTTTTATGACTTTACAGAATCCCTTCCTCTCATCCTTCATTTTAGCATACCATCTTTCAATATGACATTAGAGAGGTATCCACAGGCTATGCATGATGATAGTCCAAAGTAATTTATTTTATTGCTTTCTTTCCATCAGTTTCTGGGATTACTCAATGACTAAGGCTGGCATGCAAATCTTTGTACCAGTAACTTCAGAAGATAGATACAAGAATTGGTCATAGATGGTTTACCCAGACAACTATAATAAAACTTTAAAAAATATATATATCAGTAAACCTTATTATAGAACTATTCCAGGAAAACCATTTATCCTGATTGTTTGGAGAAAAGAAGCTGTTTTAGAGTGAACATCTGTTCTTTCAGTTATATATCAGCTCAGTCATCTCTGCAGGAAGGATAATATTTAATTCCTTAGATATTTTCTAG